ACCAGTACATATTTCTTATATATAAACTTATTCATATACTCATATGTTCATATATTAATGTGTAGTAATATATTCATAGATAAACTTACTCATAAATTTGAAAAATGATTTGGCTTCAAATATACAAACAATAGTTGGCAAACTCGTTATCACTATTCTTATTTATAGGAAGTTCTGAAGGATGTTAAGCAACTAAAATAACCATAAGCCACAATTCCACAAAATAAGCTATATGTTTATACAAACACAAAATGAGGTTTGTACATTGCAAAAACATTGTTTAGTCACAGGAGGCTTGAAAGCACAAAACATGGGGTTTAAGGTTGGAAGTTTCCCAAGTGCTTTCTTGTACTGTTGGCAACAGAGAACAACTGCCTCATCATAAGGGTGTTTGGTTTTGTTCAAGGACATACCCCAAGCATCTAGAACCATGTGATAAGTAGGTGCTCAGTAAGTATTTGATGGTGTTGAATGAACTGGACGTGAGCACTCAGAGAGAGTCAAAGGAGGTTTTCCTCATCTATCATTGCAAGATACGTAGGCAGCCCCTTTGAAGAAATATCTTTGAAAAATATCAAGCTGCCCCTACAACCACAAAATAAATGCAATATAAAAAAAACTGAATAGATAAAACCTAATACAATGGAACAAAGTTTCTAATATCAAAGGGGTGCACGTTCTAATTTCAACTCCTCTGCCTGCTGTCTTATTTGCTCTGTTTTCTTATTCTATTGACAGCATGAAGTCAGACCTCAAACGCTGAGAAATTTGGCATCTGTGTCCCAGGGCATATTAATTTCTTAACTGTAATAGTTGTTGTTGTTGTTGTTTAAACTTGGGGGGTTACCCACCACAGAAAGCCTCTGTGGCAGGAGGAGGGCAGATGATTTAATGATATCTTGTAGACCTGATTTAATGGTAATCAGCTTGTAGACCTGACTATGGATTCAGGGAGAGAAGTTTGGAGAGGGTAGACATTTTGCTTAGGTAACTGCTGTGCATCGGTCAGAGAATGTTGTTAAGGAGGCAGAAAACAGTGAAAGATAGAATGGGGGTGGAGAATAAAGAGGCTGGGCAGGTTTCAAATCTCATTCCACACGGGATGTAGGATTTTTAGCTTTTACTTCCACACACATATACACATACACTCACATGGAATTATATTTATTACAAACTTTACACAGAATAACTTGTAGAGATAATACTAAGAATGCCTTTACCACCTAACAGTTTATTTTTACATGACAATATGACTTTTGGGTCCTTAAAGCTGTATTGTGAATCATTCATACACAAATGAATTTACACATTCAAGTATAGCCTGGATTTTTAACTTTGTATATGTTATTTTTATAATCAGTCTTTAGAAACTTTTGTACATTTGTTACAGTTGAACCTAGCAGCCTAGATACTAACACATTCTGTTGATTCACTGTTAAATATTTATCCATCTATTTATCTCTCCTTATACTTAGGTAGTCTTCTGTTTTTTTAAAAAAAACATATTCCTCTCTATGATTTATGCTATAAAATCTCTGTCTTTATTTACCTCAATGCAATATTTTGTTTTCCTTACAACATTTATTAAGCAAATACTTCATCATTTAATTTTATCTGATATGCTATATATTTATATATAAATTTAGATCTTTCTGGAATATCACTCTGTCCTAATCATTTCCTTTCTGTTATTAATTATTATGTACTTTTCCCTAAAACTTTATTTTCTGTATTATTTGTGCTCTTAAGATCATGTAACCTTATTTTTCAAGTCATTTGAGTGGAAGTTTTGTCATATTTTTAGCCATGTCAGTTTTTTTTGTCTTTGATTCAATAATTTGCAAATTTTGAAATAGATATCTAAGAAGATTCCTAAATCCTGGGAAATCCTTGGTGTGCTCATCAATGTTGTTTTGTTTTTTTTTAACTTGTGACTTAAAAATTATTTTACGGAGATGAAATTCACATAATATGCAATGAATTATTTTAAAGTGTACAATTCAGTGGCATTTATGCATTCACAGTGTTCTGCAACCATCATCTCTCTCTAGTTTCAAAACTTTTTTATCACCCTAAAACACCCTGTTCTTACTACAAAATCACTTCCCATTTTCCCCTGCACCCATCTACTGGCAACCACTAAACTGCTGCCTGTCTCTATGGATTTGCCTATTCTGGATAATTCATATGAAAGGAATCATACAATATATGACCCTTTTCATCTGCCTTCTTTTACTTAGAATGACGTTTTCGAGATTCATACATGTTGTAGCATGTTATCAGTATTTAATCCTTTCTATAGATGAATAATATTCTACTGTAAGGATATACTACATTTTGGTTATTCATTCATCTACAGAAGGATGTTTGGGTTGTCTCCATCTTTTGACTATTAGAAATGATGCTGCCATAAATACCTGTGTACAAGTTTCCATGTAAACATATGTTTTCATTAATCTTAGGTAATACCTAGAGATGGAATTGTTGGATGATAAGGTAATTCTATGTTTAGCCTTTTGAGGAACTGCTGAACTGTTGTCCACAGAAGCTGTACCATTTTATATTCCCCCAGCAATATGAATGTTTCTATTTCTCTGCATTCTCACCAATATTTATGTCCTTTTGTTTTGTTAATTATTATGGCCATCCTAGTATGCATAAAATGTACTTTATTGTGCTTTTGATTTGTGTTTCCTTAATGTACAATGATATACATCATGTCTTGTGCTTGTTTGCTATTTGTATATTTTCTTTAGAAAAAAGTCCATTCAAGTTCTTTGCCTATTTTTTAAAATCAGGATTTTGGTCTTTTTGTCTTTGAGTTGTAAGAGTTCTTTATTTATTCAGGATATTAAACCCTTATCAGATATATAATTTGCAAATATATTCTCCCATACATAAGTTGTCTTTTGACATTATTGATAATGTTATTTGAGGTACAAAAGTTTTCAATTTTAGTGAAATCCAATTTATCTAATTTTTCCTTGTTACTCATGCTTTTGATGTCAAACCTAAGAATCCATGGCTAGATCCAAAATCATAAAGATTTATCCTATATTTTCTTCTAATAGTTTTATACTTCTAGATTTTACATTAATGCTTTGTATCCATTTGAGTTAATTGTTGTATCTGGAGTGAGGTAGGGGTCCAGCTTCATTCCTTTGCACATGGTGGTCATAGAGCTGTCCCAGCACCATTTGGTGAAGAGACTACTATTTCCCCACAGAATGGTCTTGGCACCCTTGTTGAAAATCCATTGGCCATAGTTGTTTGTTTGTTTGTGGACTCTCAATTTTATTCCATTGGTCTATATGTCCATTCTTATGCCACTACCACACTGTTTTGAATAATGTAGCTTTGTACTAGGTTTTGAAGCTGGGAAGTAGGAGTACAGTGAATTTTTTTTTTCTTTTTCAATATTGTTTTGGCTATTTGGAGCCCCTTGCAATTTCATATGAATTTGAGGAGTGGAATTTCTGCAAAAAAAAAAAAAATCCACTGGATTTTTTGCAGGTATTGAATTCAATCTATAGATTGCTTTGGGGATAATTCCTATCTTAACAGTATTGTCTTCCTCTCAAAAAACATGAGATGTCTTTCCATTTAATTAGGTCTTCTTTAATTTCTTTCAACAAAGTTTTATAGATTTTAGTGGACAAGTCTTTCACCTATGTGGTCAAATTTGTTTCTAGGTATTTTATTATCTTGGATTCCATTATAAATGAAATTATTTTTTAAATTTCTTTTCGAATCATTCTTTGCTAGTATTGAGAATAAAATTGAGTTTTCTCCATTGATAATAAGAATAACCAACAGTTATATAGCACATATTAAATGCCAGGCATTGTTCTAAGAGCTTACACATGTCTATGGTCTCAAAACACTATAGTCTATAAGATAAAGGTACACTATCTTAGCATGGCCTACAATGACTTCCCATTAGGCCTCAAGCTATACTTCTATCTGTATGTATATCAACTGACAATGAAACAGCTCACTGTCACTGAATACACTATGTTCTTTCATCCTTCAATGTCACTGCACACTTTATCCTTTTTTGTCTAGGATTATTGCCCCATATCATCTGTCTGGGAAACTCCTACTTATCCTTCAAGAATTAGCTCGAATGTTGACTCAGCTACTTAATCAGTCCTTTTAGGGAGGATCCATGCTCCTATCTTTTTTAATGGTTTATATGTGCCTCTTTTATAATGATTTCATCTTGTGTTGCCATTATCTTTCCTGCTTATTCTGGTGCCCTCCACTGTATGGAGATAGTTGAATGCAAGGACTGTATTTTATATGTTTTTGAACCTTTAGGGCCTGATGCCATATCCAACTTAGTAGATTCTCAATAAAGCTTTCCTAGATGAATGAGTGGACCAAATACACAAAGGTGATCTACTTTGTCAAAAAATATACTCATCCTAGTTCGTATATCCAAAAAGCAGTAATCAAATTCCCCTGCATGGTTTAAATCAAGAAAATTAACTTTGTTATTAAACACACTACTGGTAGCAAATGAGGGAGTCTTTTTCTCCCGCTATTTCCCTTCCTCCCTTATTCTCTCTCACTTAAAGTACTAAGGTCATTTTTGTTCATCTAAAAACCAAACCAAAAAAATGAAATGAAATGAAATAAAATAAAATAAAATAAACATAGCTTAGAAATATGGTACTGTTATACTTTACATTAAAACGTCTAAGAATATTCTCCTTATACTCACATGGAAAGAAACGTTGATAAGCAAAATGATTTAACAGAAAGAAGACAATGTAATTCAGAAGATTTGAGAATTTCTTATATTCCTTTTTAAGAGTGTGACACTGACTCTGTATTGTACCTCTCTGAGCCTGTTTCCTCATCTATAAGGCAAAACAAATACTCCCTGCTCTGCGTACCACAAACTACTGGGGTGAAGATCAAGAGAGATAATGCTTTTGAAAGAAAGCCATGAAACAAAATGTGCTGTACAGCAAAGTATGTAGTTATTCACTCACCAAACACAGTTCTTGCAGGCACAGATTCTCTATTAAGCCAGAATGACACTTGGGAGAGAATGACAGTCATGATGCAAGGCAGATATGTCTGAATCACAAAATACCCAATTTTTCTTTTCAAGTGGAAATGAGCTGTCATTACGGTATATTCACCTAGAAGAAAAATTTAAGAAGCTTAAGAAACTGTAATAGTCAATAGTTTGAACATTTTGGAAATGGAAGGGATTAGGCAAAGAACAGTCCCTGATTTAAAAAAGGAAAGAATTTGCCCCATATATGACATGGAAAGTATATAACATTAAAATGCCCACTTAGCATAGCAAGAGTATTTAAAAGAAAATTTTCATATGACCAAAAAATTTGAATGGCATGTGTATTGTGTTGAATTTGTTTTTCTCTCTAGGTCATGCTTACTGACCGAGAGATAGAGGATTCATAAATGCTCTGACCATGGATTATCTTACTTGCTCAGGTTCTCATCCCCTTTGGTCCCAACCTCAAGCCTCTGTTTTGACTGTTTCCAGTCCAGTCCTCTCTGGCTCTTTAAAGTATTGATCTCTGGCCACATCTCCAAGACTGATCTCCTGGCCCAGATTTTCTACTTTTAATCTTGTCACCAATTCTGAATTTATGTGTTAATGTCTGCTCTAATATAGTGGGGTCAGTTCTATCTGATACTCATAGCTACCTTCCTTTCTGCTCTCTGGGTTTACATCTGCCAGATGTGAGATCATTCGTTCATACAGCTGCTTTTTCTTCAAAAGGGCTTTAGCTTTCCCACACAGACCAATAGTAATTATCCATAATCAAGAGTTGAATAGTCATAACTTATCCAGAATAGGGGGAAAAGAATTAGAAAGTGAGGGGAATTGTAACACTGTGTGAAGGTAAAATTGGCTTGTCTCAAAAGACACACATGTTTTGAATTGGGAGCATAAGTTAGACTAGTGTTTTTTAAACTTTAATGCACACCTTGGTATCTCCTTGAAATCTTGTTAAAATGCAGATTCTGACTTAGTAAGGAGTCAGGCCTGAGATTCTGAATTTCTAAAAAGCTCCCAAGCACGGTCTCCTGCTCCTTCTTAGGGCACAAAAGGTTTTAAGCAAACTGACACATTTCCAATGACGTTAACCCATTAATCTTCTTAGGAACTAGCTTTTCTTTAGACTCATTTTACTAACCTGTACTGGATTTAATTGTCTCCTTCCCAATTGATTGGCCCAGCAGATCATACTGATTTAACCTAGAGCCATCAGGAGCAACTTGTACAGAATCAGATGCATTGTATGTCCAAATGTAAGTGACCTCCGAGGTTGTATACGCATCTGTAAGAAATCAGGAAAAAAATCTTTTTAAGCATTTTAGTAAGAACTATCAATAACATCCAGCATTAAAGGTCGCATATTTCATAGAATTATTGTTTACTATAAAAATTGATATTTTTTAGGGCAAAAAAGTGTCTTTGAAATTTACAACTTCAGTATGAAGGGTGTGAAGCAGACCAAGAGAGACAACCGTGACCACAAGAGTATCTTCACTGTAACCACTTTGAGAGATGAAGAGCAAATTTCTCTTTAGCGCCTGCAAAAATCACTGGGCCCTGAGATGGTTAAAACATCCTCCATATTCGCAAGGTAGTAGATGACGGCATTGCAGTAAACAGGTTATGAATGCCCAAGGCCCATTTAGCCAGTTAATTTAGAAATAATAATCACTCATGAAAAACTTATATCCATGTGAGAATAATGATGACATGTGTTTATTTTAGATATTATTTTTGTAGTTAGTTTTGTAGGTTTTTCTTCAAAACGTTCACCTAGTTAAGAATTAAGTGACTTGGTCTTCCCTGGCGGTGCAGTGGTTGAGAGTCCGCCTGCCGATGCAGGGGACACGGGTTCGTGCCCCAGTCCGGGAGGATCCCACATGCCGCAGAGCGGCTGGACCCGTGAGCCATGGCCGCGGAGCCTGCGCGTCCGGAGCCTGTGCTCCGCAACAGAGAGGCCACAGCAGTGAGAGGCCCGCGTACCGCAAAAAAAAAAAAAAAAAAAAAAAAAAAAAAAAAGAATTAAGTGACTTATCTATCATAGTACAATGCATTTCATTAGAAGAATGAGAATTTTGCAGAATATGCAAAATAATTCAGAATGCTATAGTTTTGCAAGTTGAAAACACTTTTGAAAACCTGTTCATTTTAAAATTAATTAATGCACATAGATCTCACTGAACTATACTTGCATAGCATCCTAATTAAGCTATGGATTGGCAGGAGGAGACAAATCACATACAGACCAAGTATAATTTTCTGATTTATTTGGCCAAGGATACAGAACTAAGCAGAAGTGAGATGACTCTAACGCTGGAAGGCAGGCAGCCTATCTTGTCTCAGTACTTCTCTGGCCCTGGCATTTCCCTTGTGCCTGTAGGGGGAACAGCTGACCTCTCCATGCGGGCAGAGTCTCTCCACAGTTGAATAACCAGACAATTCCAGCTGTACTACTGACCTTTCAAAGAACTTCTATGCACTTTTGCTCAAGGGAATGTTTAGAAATATTAGTTACTCCTGGTCCTTGAGCAAAACTCAGCATCACAGTCACATTTTCAGTTGAGGGAGAGAAAAAACCAGCAATATCTCTGCCTCTAGCTCTCCAGGACACTGGAAAAGCTCATTTACCTGTCATCTAATAGGTTTTCTAGGTTAATACCATTGTTCCGGGGTGGTTCTGGTACTTACCTTGATCTAAAGTCTGTGATCACAAATCCATTCCCACTTAAGCATTAGTTACAATAAAGTGAATGCTGTGTCTTATTCACTGTGTGATCTTTTAATGACATACTACAGTGTTGTCTGGTTTTCAGAATGTTACTAGTAAATGTTAATATCAGTGAAATACATGTATACACCTACATCCACAAATAATTATATTATGTGAGACAATTTTTGAAATAGCATTCTAAAAAAGTATGTATGTATGTATATCATTATACATACTTCATATCATTATATGTATATATATATATATATTTGTTTTAATAGCAGATCTATTCCTACAGCTTGCATATGAATGAATTCAGTTACCCTAAGGTCTAAATTTTTATTAATTAATTTCAATTAATTAATCATTGATGATTCTGCTGTTATGTATAAATAAGTAACATTAGTAATGTGTATAACTAGCAATGCATTTGCAGATCATCAAGTGGACTTCTCTTCAATAAAATTTCAAATGACACAGAATTTAATAAACCAAAAAGACATCACATGCTCCAGTTCATATTAGAAGGCCTCAGAGTACTCAGTAGTTGTGGATCTTAATAAATTATGAGGTTTTATTTTAAGCAATTATAATAATTCTACTTTTGAATTTTGACGTTTACCTTTAAACATAAATAAGAGAAGATGAAACTCTACAAACATAGGTGACATTTTAAAGAAACTAGCAAGAGACTAATGGGAGGGCCTCTATCTTACTCATATCTATACTTCTTGCACCTGGCACAATGCCTGTCACGAGGAAAATGTTCTCACTTCATTCTTGCTAGATTAATCAATAAACTCATAATATTTTAATTCTGTTATTTACTGTTATGAAAGATGGAAATCTGGATAGAAGCCTAAGAATATGTTAAAGAAAATGACTGATCCTGCCCATGTCTTTTATAAAAAAGCAATTATTTACTTTCATTTTTTAGGCAGGAATGTTTTTTAGATTGGGGGTCTGATGAGAAGAGAGAGCAGAAAGTTATGTAATGCAGATTAGAGGCATTTCCTGGCCTACCAACACACATATAAACTTGGAGACCATTGTGATTTTTCAGTGAAGTATAAAAGGATGAGAAAGACAAATTTCTTTATAAATTCCATATCTAGATTAGGTTTCCATTAAATAATTTTATTTAATTTTATGCAGTAATCCATTTTGAGTCCTAGTCAGCATTAAACATCAAATGCATACTGACCGATTCTTAATATTTGATAACCAAAACAATCACCAAATCATTATTATCCAAAAAGAAAATTTATAATTTCTTTTGGGATAATGCCCAGAATACTCTTAGATTTCCATTCAGGAAGTTTTAAATCAAATTAAATAGCAAGGAATTATATAAAGATGTGAGGCAACGGGAATAACACAAAACGAAACTGAATTCAAATTTTAAATTAGTAGAAAAGATGCTTCTTTTATTTGAGAACAATGATAAAAAGTTCCAGAAATTCTATCATTTGTGGGGACACAAGGGAGTTTTTTAAATAAGTGAGGAGTAAATGACTAGAAGAAAAAGTCATGTCTGCTTCCACTAAAATTTGTTATGCCAGCATTTTAAGTTTTAGGTTGGCTTGTTAGTCTATACACCATGCTCGTGTCCATACTATTAACACTATGTCTCAAGTACCTACTATTGGCAAGGATAAATAAAAGAATATACAACTTTTTTACTCAATGTGTCAGAAAATAAATATGGAGAAAACTAAAAACAATTACTTCAATAGAAAGTGCCTAACAGTAAGCTCTGTGTGTTGCCTGCAACACTTCTAGATACAGAAAACCATATTCTCAAATGTACAGTATTACACTACTCTGAAGATGCACTCTAAGGGATTTAAAAATTTCATTTAAAATATTTTCACGTGTATTTATTTCAAATTCAGAATTGAGACATCATACGTCATTTATATTTGGTATCTTAATGACACTAACTTGTCCACTGAAAAATGCCTTTCCTTCTTAGACCATAACTGCATCTTGAATAAATCCTTTCTTTGGTATGAAGGCTTTTCAGTTTTCTATTTAATGCCATTTATGCAATGCAAATGAGTTTTTCTCTGCTGCATCTGCTGCAGTTTTTCCAGCATCATGTTTACTTTGTATAACAAGATTGACTCTTAAATAATCTTCGAAAAAGTGCCAGTATTGAAGTGATAGTTTCCATGAAAAGAAAAAACGTTTATTGTTAAACAAAGGGGAGATTCTCAAAGAAAATAGAGAGCTGACACCTTTCGTAAGATTGAACAGAACAAACAATATTGAACTTCTCATTCCACAAAACTATGGCCATCCATAAAATTAGAGTGTTTTGCATTCATATTAGCCACCATTCTTCTCTTTTCTTTCACTTGATACAGTCTGTGGGGAGAAGGCATATTATTCAGTCATACATATTTGTATCAGGTGAGAGAACTGCATTTCTATACAAGAGACTGAAAAGTCAAAACTGCCCAGAATGGACAAAGATGGAGGTGCCAGAAAGAGCAAAGGTTTCTGAAAAGGTCAGGCTATGGAACACACTTACAAAAGAGAGAAGCTGCTTAGCTGTGTCCATGAATTTATCCTGAACCTGCCCTGAATGCCTTGTGGGCCTAGGGAGATGATTTGACCTTCCCTCTTTTCAATTATTCTGGGAGAGCTAATGCTTCTGCTTGACATATAAGATACAACCTCAGTGACCTAAAGAACAGCCAAACGCACAGAGCCTTTTCTGAAATATTTTATGTACACAGAAGGCGCCCACATGTAGCAATCGAGTTACATCATCTCCTTCAAATTTATTTTAGAAAGAAACTTTCCTTCCATTATTAGAGAGTAGAAAGGTAATTAGAGATCCAGCTTTTTCTTTTACCTATTCTCTGTTGCCATTTGCAACAGGTTGATCACTACTTTAACAAATAGAATCTATCCTTAACATTTCATTCTTAGTTGGAAAAAAAAGCCATTTATTTAGCATTTTTAATGGGTTAGCACTTGAAAAAGAAGGTAAATGACATAGTCCTGACCTTCAAGGAGCTCCCAATCTACTTTTTCACATTGATAAAAACACAGGGTGTTCTTTATTAGCAGTAAAGCAAATGACAATTAAACACAATGATTAAGATATGATATTTGAGAGTACAATAGGGCTAGCCAGTTGATTACTTGAGGGAAATCAGTATGTTTTTTATTTCTGCATCTTATTGGGCAAGTATTAAGCATCCCATCATATGAGAAGAAAGTATACAATTAAGTTGTGCTGCTGCCTATCCCTGATTTTATTGACCCAAAACATGTACCTTCATCCCCATACTTACAGCTGCCAAATTTCAGAGGACATGAGTGGGCATCCATTGGAAAATCCTCCAAGTGCATTGGACATTCAGCTTGAACTGTAAGCCTAAAAGTCAAAATTCCACTCTTTGTTTACGTAAATTTGCAAGTCAAGATAAATCACTGCTTATTGTGGTCAACAGAATTAATGATGAGGTAGGACCCTCATTAGGGCATCTGATTAGGCTAATTCACATTTAAATATACTTTTGTTCTTTCACATTTAGGTGATCCTTCAGAAGACATTTGCACCTACAAAATCTGAGCTCAAGTAACAATATTTATTTAAAAATATACTTTAAGCATTTTGTACTATATGGTTAGTTAAGAAGTTATGTACACATTTTTGAAGGTTATTTTCCCATTAACTTCAGTATTAACATTTGAAATCTTGAAGAAAAAAATGAAAAAAAACCCTCTGTCATAAAAAGAATGCTATTTTCTCCCAACATTCCATCAATAACCATATAGCAAAATTGATATAGGAATTCAATAATGCCTCAGAGAAGCACCCTTCAAAATTATGTAAATTGTAAATGAATATCATATACTGTATATAGATACATATATATAAATATAAATATAGACATAGTTACATATATAGATATATCTCCTAGAAATATCTTGTTGAGACTAGACTATTCAAATTACAGACACAGGTTATGAATGTTAAAGAAATATTTTTTTTGTATATACATGATCACATTAAAGAGTAATCATAGCAAATTTGTTTTAAAGAAAATTATCAACTATTCCATTTCAGACAAAGGTAAATTATATAAAATAGGGACTAAACTGAACTTACAGAAGAATCTCTGACAATGAACAAAACAAATGTAAACCAACAATTTAATTATAGCTTATATACTTCCAAGAGAGTTTTTAAGTAGAACCCTACACAATATTTTTCCAAACCCCAAATTTCCAATCATTGTCTTAATTCACAGGACTAATTAGCATGTAAAATCAAGGGGAATACGGCATCTATATTGCAAGATTCAGAGAGAGAAGCAGAAAGAATAGCTAACTTCCATTTTAGGCAATGGTCATTTAGCAATGAGAACTTAAGAGTTTTTTTCTTTAAAGATCAAGACTGTATTATTGTCCCTTCTTAAATAACTTTCACAATTGAAATCCAACACTTAATGTTTCATATGAAATAATACATCAAATGCTTCGAATACACATCTGTCTATATACAATGCTGATGAAAGTTATCTATGTTTTAAAGTCTTTATCAAACATTTACCTTTTAGATTATACACCATTTTATTAGATTTGTGATTGTTTTCTTTGTTACGTAATATAAGTAACTTATTTTTAAAAGACTAATTCATGAGAAGAGTTCAAATGGAACAGTGATTAGAGTCAACAACTGTATATTTCCTTCAATAATTTTTTAAGATTGAATCATCTGAACTTGATGTCACATGACATCTCTGAGGTTATAAAAGTATTTTTCTCCCTTCATAAGAAGGATTAAAATATTAAATTAAGTGAAACTTACTTAAAAATTTGATGGGATATTTCATGAGATATTAAAGATAAAATTATGTGCTTGTATAAAGAAAAACTTAAATCATACTATTAAAGTTGTATGTAACTAAAATATAGTATGAAAAATAAACTGCCAAAAAAAATCAATTCTTAACAGCTAAGGCAATTTTTAAGCTTTAACACACTAAGATGAGTGTCAAACTCATAACCTTTATTTTTTAAATATCAAAGCATTTATAAAGCATATTCTGGTTACCTCAATAATCTGTTATGAAAATGTTCAACTTGCTAATACTTGACAGCTAAGTTGGCTGGTTGGTTAATACACAGATTTCTCCGTATTTAACGGCAACATATCAAACCTGAACACATACCTCATTGTGTATAGCAGAGTCCCATCATCCTGGATTCGAAGAAGCTTGTTTGGCATTGTCATATTATGTGCTACTGATTTTTTCCCGTTGTGGAAGAAGGTATCTGGCGTCCAGATTTTACTGGCCATTAAATTGTTAAGTCGAAGGATGTTCATAGGACCTTTAAATTTTAACCGTTCATCTTTCCATTTTTGTCGAAAGAAAACATCTATTGTATATTCCTGAAATATAAAATAGAATTATTTTGAAAATAATAAATGTTTTAGATACAAAGACACTATAAAATTTCAACAAAAATAATAATATAGTTTAAAAAGAGAGAAACCTATTTTGAGAAGTGAATTTTGAAAGATCATTCCTTTATCTTATCAATAAATGTTGCCACTTACAATGGGATAAAGCATGTGTATTTGCACAATTAGCTACATATTATTATGAAAAGAAAATTATAAATTTACTTTCTCTGGTGTCTTTCAGTTGAACAAAGTCTTAGGCAAACTGCTTTACTACATTGTATAGTTTAGAACCACACGGAAAGGGGGCATGCTTTGGCCGGGTCTGGGTGGATTGTCCCAAATCATTCATCTCAAGAATGAGTAAGGAGGCAAGCAGGCAGCCTGATTCTCAGTAGAAAAAAAAGAAGAAAGGAAAAGAAACAACTATTAAATACACACACTGTGGGATCTATATGACCTCTCCTGTTGCCAAAGAAACTATAAAAAAAAAACTTATTGCTTTCTTAATCCTAAAAAAATGGTGAGATGTCATACTGTTAACAAGAATGTATTGGGGAAGATGATTTCAATAAAGTTTATTTAATGAAATTGTAATAAAATACTTTTAAAAGGTATTAGAATACTTAAAATATGAATATTTTGCAAACAAACACCCTCAGGTTAAAATGTACTTTTAAATATTCATACAGACCAGCTAGTGATCAATTCCCCTATTATCATCCTCCAATACGTTAAAAGTTGGTTTATTCAATCTCTCTGTCTCTCACCCTCTCTCTCTCTTTTCTCATTCCCCACCTCCCCTCTTTTTTCATTTTCTCTCTGTCTTTCTTAGGATAAGAGGATGTATACATTTTAGATGAGATGTACAATTCACAATTATGATCGATACTGACAATTTTTCGACATTAAAAATTTTGGTCAGTGTATGTTTGTGCAGACACTTCCATGATAAATAACTAAAATGTTCATTTATGCACCTGAGATTGGAAATTCAGAAACTGTCCTTTGTGCATAAAGCCATAGCCATCACATGTTTGAAAATAAACAACTTAGCAACTGGCAATTTCACTCAACTAAAATTATGTGTTTAAAAAAGGACATTAAAAAGGCCACATACTTATGACAATAACAAATCATTTATACAAACCTTACTCAAGTAAATGAAAGTAAATGATTCCCAGCGATCCCTCAAGAGTTGAATGGATGAAGATAACAAGAAATGGCCACAGGTAATGACATATGGACAGGAAGTAAAGAGTGGTTCTGGGCTCCTAACCCTTAGAAGAAAATATCATTATCTAATCCACCCTCACTGTGGTTTAGTCATGGTTTTTAAGTTCAATTCTATATAAGTGTAACTCATTTTAAAAAGAAACTGGATTAAGAGATGAGTTTTTGCTATCTGACAAATTTTTATGCAAATGTTTCTTCCAACTGTGGTTCTCCCAAATCCAAGCCTGATGTGAACACATTGGACATTTGCTTGTTCAGGCACACTGAATATATTTTACAACTTTCTGTCAAACTTCAGATTCAGTTTTTCCATTTCTATAAAATTATGAGATGTTTTATCTGTTTTCAGAAGCTCTTGCTATAGCAGCAAATATTTCCTACAGACCCATCACATAGGAAATACTCAAGGTTTCCAAACAGTAAATTACAGGTGAGCTCTTTTTAAAAAGTATTTTTAAGATTACTGTTTTTGAACCTTTGCAGTGTCCCAGGTATGCTCTGCCAACCTCTGCAGAGTGACCTGTGCCTTTTTCTTCCCCTCTCCACAACCAGGTACATTCATGTTATGCTCTGGGCAATTTTAGCAATCCGCATCCTCGCTATTCATCAGATAAAGCAAGCTCCCTACTTGCCTGGGCCAAGAACTGTACTCACAGCCATGCTCCCAGTCCCTTGAACATCTGGAAGAAACAGTCTGTATCTTTACTACTCATAATACAGCGTTCTATTACTAAAGATCGTATACTGCAATTATACCTTTGTTCCTCTGCCTTCTGCTAGATCTGCTAGATCTTCTAGCAGATCTTCACAAAAGGCACTATGGCTTTCATTGTGTATTATTTTACTTTGTCTTCAGAGACATAAGAGAGTGTAAAGAATACTACAAACACTTTGTAACCATCACCAGCAAGAATCACAAATATTATTGAAGCATTCTCTCTCCTGTGTATCCCTCCTCAATCACATTCCCCTCCTCTATGTGGAAATAATCATCTTGAATTTGGTGTTTATCATTCCCATACATGGGCTTACATATTTACTATATAAATGTATGTGTTCTGTGTCACATTTTTAATATTTCTATAAATGAGATCATACTGTGTATACTTTTCTGACAGATTTTTTTTAGTTACATTGTTGAGATTTATTCATAGCAATATATCTAGTACTTTGGTTCATTTTCATTGCTACCTAGCATTACCTTGTAAGAACGTTTTACAGTATTCCTCCTTTTTCCATGTTCTTTAATATTTTTTCTCTTTCCTTTGTCACTATTGTAAGCAATACTGTTATGAACATTATCAAACAATGCTTTAAGGTGTAAGAGTTACTTTAGACCAGAGGTCGGCAAACTTTTTCCATCAGGGGCCAGTTAGTAAGTATTCTAGGCTTTGCTGGCCATACGGTCGGTATCACAACTACTCCGCTCTGCTATTGTAGTCTGACACAGATAACACTTCAGTGAGTCAGAGTGGCTATACTGCAATAAATCTGTGTTTACAAGAAAAGGCGGTCAACAGGATTTTGCCCGTGGATCATGGTATATCCATCACTGCTCTAGAGTAAATGGACAAGTGGGGATACAAAATTTATTGTATGCACAATCAATAACAAGATATTGTCAAAATGAAATTGTAAGAGGTGTATACATTGCAATAAATAACAAGATACTGTCAAATCTTCAAAAATAACAAGATATTGTCAAGTTGAAATCCTAAGAGATGTATACATTTATATCCCCACTAGGTTCTCTACAATTTGGTATAGACAGAATATTTCATTTTAACCATTATGGCTGGCATGAAATGGTTCACAGTGCTGCCATTTGGCTTTTTCTGTTAACTAGTAAAATTTAACACATTTTCATATGTTTATTAAATGCTCTACTTTTCTCTTTTATGGATTGTTCATGTCATTTACTCATTTTCCTTTTAGGTTGTCCTTTTCTTATTGAGTTATAGAAATTCTTCATATTTTCTATATACAAATATTTTAGAAAATGCAGAACTCACTAAGAATTATAATAAAGATCATAAAGGTATACAAAAGATCATAAATATACCCCTGTATGTTTCTCTTAAACATGTCAAAGTTCTGCTTTTAACATTTAGGTCCTGGAATTACTGTGTATCATATGAGACACAGTTCCAAATTTTTTTTTTCACATGGAAAACAACTTTCTGGTACCATTTATTGACTGGCCTATCTTTCCCCACAGCTCAGCAATGGCATTTCTTTCATGTGTCTAGTGCTTATATAGGCAGGGATCTGCTTCTGTTTATATTGCAGTCGAAGACATTTTATACTTCCTATTATGGCTTTTTTTTTCTTTATGTGGGAGATATTGTGAAGTATGTTTTTATGATTCCAAATATATTGGTTTCTTTTACTTATATTTTTGTCATTGATGTTTAATTTTACTGCTTTATGATAAGAGATTATGCTCTGAAGTTGGCAATAATTTTCAATGTACTTAAAATAGCTTAAGAAAAATTTTTGTTGAAGCTGACCATTTCCATCTTTTAATGGTAAGGCAATTCAGTCCATTTGCATTTAATGTGATTACTAATATATTGGATATGTCCCCAGGCTATATTGTTTTTAGCAGTGACAAAATGATGAGGCTAGATGGGATAACTTATTTAGATGTTTCATGATTAACTAATTAAAATAAATAAGAACTCTAGAAAATTATGGAAGAGGAATCATAAAAGAACACAGATCCATACACACATACACAATGAGTAGAGGGAGAGAAAAGTATCAAACTAAGAGAAAAGAAATTTTAAAAAGCATATAGAGATTAACAGTGTCAAATAGTGGTGAAAGATCTTGAACGCTTAGTAGAAAAAAAGAGTTCAGAAACCAAAATGCAATGGGTTGAGGAGTGAACAGAGCATACAAGTGGGAAAAAGTAAAGTATAAGGTACTCTTTGCCACTCCTGATTTTGTAAAAGCCATTAAGGGAAATCAGAGTTTAACCAGTAAAATCTAGAGACTAACTTATACCATTTAGCTATTGCCCTGTTAAAAGACACCTAAAATGCAGTAGTTTAAAATAGCAACCATTTATTATTAGCTCATAAGACTGAAGGTCAGCTGATCTCACCTGGGCTCAGTTGATCTCAGCTGTTCTTGCTCATGCATCTGCGGGTTTAGGCGGCCATTGGCTGATCTGAGCTGTTACTGTGTAGAGACACTGGGGCAACTCAGCTCTGCTCCAAGTGTCTCTCATCCTACTCCAGGGACCACTGGTCTACCCTGCGCTTACATTTCTCATGATGATGGCAGAAGTACAAAAGAACAACCCCCAGTGCACAAGCCCATTTCAAGCCATTGTTGTGTGATGTCTGTTAACAACCCATTGGCCAAAGAAAGTCACATAATTGAGTTGAGTGACAAATACTTTAGCAGGTCACCTCACTCTCAGTGGGAGGGCATTACGAAGTTAATGAAAAAAGATGTTGATATTGAAAGGGGTGAAGAATGGGTGCCATCATTGCAGCCTATCACACTAGCCCTCTGTGAGAGAAAAATAAAAGATTTTTCTGAATGAAATGAGATGTTTGAGAACATCTGAAACTTCATCATGTGACTCCAATGAAAGTTACATGGGTCTAACATCGGGGGGCAGGTTGGTTATAAGTTAGTAAGTATAACTGTAATCAACTGTATTGTACCTCAATTAAGTGTGGGCCCAGGAGCAGAAGCAAGATTATCAGCTTAGAGCAGTAGCTTACAAAGTGGGGTAT